GACTAGGAGTGACATGATAGCATGAAGAAGAAGGGGCTCAACCTATTTTCTAAAGCAACAGAAGGCAAGAAACAAGAAACAATGGTTCGAAAATAATCAAGGAGGGAAGCATCCTAGAACTAAGAAGGAATTTCCTGACAGAACAATTCACCAGTGGAACAACCTGCCTCCAGAAGCTGTGAATGCTCCAACACTGGAAGTTTTTTAGAAGAGACTAGACAACCATTTGTCTGAAATGGTATAGGGCTTCCTGCCTGAGGAGGGGGTTGGACTAGAAGACCTCCAAGGTCCCTTCCAACTCTGTTATTCTGTATTCTGAAATGGAGATTGGATCAGGGAAGAGCATGCACAGTTGAGAATACATTTTATTGATGGAGAGAAATCATTGTCCCAAATATATTTTGTGGAATTAATCTGCTTCCCAGGTTCTGATTCTGAAATAAATAAAATAAATGGATAACAGTAGTTAGTGTAAAGTGTTTATTATTATATCACATTGTACCATCTTCTTTGCCTTCTCAGATATTGGTTCCAATAATTGTGGTTATTACGATCTACAAGCAGTGCTAACCCATCAAGGAAGATCTAGTTCTTCTGGACACTATGTATCTTGGGTTAAAAGAAAACAAGGTATTGAAGCAATTTTAGAAAATAGCCAAATGATAGGGTAAGTTACTTGGGTACCTTCCTTTTTTGAAAAATAAATTGAAAAATAAATTCTGCAGTTATGTTATTCTGCCTTTTTATATATAAATCAAGGTGGCAACATATCTGAGACTTCCACCTTCAATTTCCCCCACATCCTTTTGGGTTGAGAGAGAATAACATGCCCAAGGTCACCCAATAGCTTTCATATCCAAGCCCCTTTGTGGTTTTCAAGCCTACTAGAACTCAAGACTCCTGCTTTCTAGGCCAGCACCTTTATTACTACACCATGCTGCCTCTCATGTTAATGCATTTAAAATGTTATTTACTATGTTTTTTTCTCTCCCACAGATGAATGGATTAAATTTGATGATGACAAAGTCAGCATTGTTACACCTGAAGATATTTTGAGGTTATCAGGCGGTGGAGATTGGCATATAGCTTATGTTCTACTTTATGGGCCACGCAGAATTGAAGTTATTGAAGATGAATCTGAACAGTAGACTTCCTATCTACATCTGTAAGGTGTGAAATAAATGTCTTAATTCCAGACTCACACATTGCAAAATTGGATCACTAAAATACTATCATTTGGTGCAAAAAGACAGCAAAACATGTTTAAAATTAAGGCCAATAGCAATCAGCCACTTACTAGGAGTAGGTTGATACATTTGAAAGTAATTTTAATACTGTATTGCAAAATTTGGTATTTAAAACAATGTTAACTACTAATGAAATTAAATGAGCCTCCAGCTTATCTAATTTTTTATAAAGATATTTATTGCACACCTATTCATATCTTTGTTAACTCCTGCATGGTTTCTACCAGTTCAGTAGCTGTCCATCCTTTTTATTGTGTCAGAAAGATAAAACTCAATTGTTGCCTCAACATGTAACTCAGTGCTGCTACTCATAGCCTGTGGAAATATGGCTACAATCACGTATTTGTCCAGCCTGATGTGCCAACTCAGTCTGCTCTGTTTCTGGCATTTTTGACTCCAAATAAAAAGTGATCAGTAATGATGGTGCTTCTTACATAAATATTGTTGGTGTTTGTGTTCTATCTAAAATTTGTGTCTGTTTCCTTTCATTCTGGTACCATACTTTCAAAGGCATGGTGATCTTTCAATCAAATAGTTGGGAATTACAGGAATTAACTTCTGAACATTGGACATTAAAATGTTGCCCACCTACATGGGGTATGAAAATTTGCCAATAATGGAAATTATCTAGAGGAAGGTACAGGGATCTTAAAATGTAAAAACACAATATTTTAAAAAGTGTGACATTGAAAATGACTATTGTTGTACATGAAGGGATAGAACTTGAAAGATTTTAGTTGCATTAAGCATGTCTTTGCTTAATGCAATGAAATAGAGCTAATTTATATTAAATAAATGCAAATTTTAATGAGTTTGAAAAGTTAATCCTATTAAAAACTTCCTTATCTGTACAGCAAATAGTTATATTTTTGTTAAAACCGATATATTCTGTTGAGCTGTTCTAGGTAAAAGGTTTGAAAGCATATACTCTAAGTCTACAGTTCCAATCTTGCTCTGTTCTTTTTCACCAATGTCTAATCTGATGCTTTCCGTTTTGTTCCACTGTTGTTTTGCTCAGAGGAAAGACAGAGTAAAAGAAATAGAAAGTGCTGCAACTGAGCTGAAACCTCCACAAATAAACCTAACTAATGTTTCAACATATCTGCTTTAAACACCCCTTTTGGAAATTACAATGGAAAACAAATAAAGGTTGTAAAGTCAGATAAGCTATTTTCATGTAGATATATTATAGAGAGAATCTGCAATTTCTAGTTGTATCTTTAAAGTGGCAGTCTTCTCTTTGTAGAACTTCCATAAGCACTTACTGAATGATGTTTATAAATTGAGCCAATGAAGGAAAACCACTGAAATAATGGACCTCGCCAAAGATGGCTACAAACAAAAAGGGCTGTGGCCAGAAATTGAAGATATTGATTTATATATTAAATCTCAAAAAAGAAAGAAAGAAACCCAGTCTAGGATTGCTGATTTTTTTTTCTCAAGAGGTGAATCCTAATTCTGGTGTCCAGAGTAGAGACACAAAAGGAAAATATGGTCTCTTGATCCTTATCACTCTTGGACTACAGTATTACCAACACAGATAATAGCACCTCAAACACTGGAAATAATGCAACAGAGAAAATAGCTATTGCTTACATACAGAAAAACATATGGACACTAGCACACTTGCCGTACAACCAAATACAAGAACTGTAACAAAGATTGCCTTATCAAGGCATGTTTCAATTCCTCCAAGCCATATGACTTGGGATTTCTTACTGGCAAATGAAGCAAATGTTTTAAGGGGTTCAGGATTTCTATTTGAAGACTATAGAAGCCTTGGAAGAAAGATAGATAGTGATAGAGGGGATGGCTTAAGTGGTTTATCAATGTAAATACCTTTTTAGGCAATAGAGCATAGGGGAATCAGATATTTTCATGACATTTTTAAACCCTGTTAGATAAATCACATTACATAGTTTGATAGTAGGCAGGAATTCCTTACCTGAAGAAATAGAGATTAGAAATATTTGTAATGAATGGCCTAGTTAAGAAGAGTTGATTAATAAACAGACACAGTTACTATCTAACTTCACTCTTCTAACCTCAAAAGCCTTGAAAAGGAGAAAACAATTCATGAAACAGTAGAAATGGAAAACAAAGGCAAGCCTCAGGATATGGGACAAAGCAGCCAAAAATGCCATGATCACCCTCCACAAAAAAAATAGTATACATCACGGTTTCTCAACTTCAGCAATTTTAAGATGTGTTGACTTGAACTCCCACAATTCTCACAACCAACAGGTTGGGTTCAGGTTTAGAAATATTGATCTAGATCAGTGGTTCTCAACCTGTGGGTCGGGACCCCATTTGGGGTTGAACGACCATTTCACGGGGGTCACCAAGCAATGCAGTCCGTCATTTCCCCCCCCCTTCCTTAGCTGTGCTACTCCCTTTTATTCTATTGGCTTTTGAAAGCCAATAGAATAGACTCTCTTGAACAGAGTCTAATTCTATTGGCTTTCAAAAGCCAATAGGAATTGTCCAGGCTGTCTCTGCCCTACTGAGCCCGCCAAAAGTCCCATTCTGCAAACGGTGCTGCACCGGTTGAGTAGTCCTCAACTTATGACCGGTTGGGGGTCACGGCATTAAAAAGGTTGAGAATCACTGATCTAGATCTTACAATCTTGACAGGAAAATAGGCTTATGAATAGCAAGATTAAAGCCATTAATATGCCTCCAACTTCTGAAGGACAGCATATCATAACAGCTTCTTGCCATGAAGATCTAGGGCTCACAACCACCAGCATTTAATTTTTTAAGATCCAATTATAATATTATCCAGCAGTTATCAAAATAATGGTTCTAAAAGATAGTGTAATACAGCTGCCATCAACAGATAGGCATAGTATCTTACAACCCTCTGAAAGACGTTTTTTTGCAGAATGTTCTTTATATTGAATTTCTTTACATCAGCATTACCTACTTCAGTAGTTAACCAGAGTAGTGGGCAGAAGTTGAACAAATTGAAAAGACACTGAATAAGTTTATAAAAGAAGCCACAGAATTCTATAAATTAAGTAGGACATAATTGGTCCTTCTCCAGCATCGAGACGCATGCATTAGGATAAAAGTTGACTTCTTATTGTTATAGCTCATTTCACATAAGCACAAGGCCAAACTAGAATACCTAAAAATATTTTTCTCCCAACAAAATGCTTTTTAAACATATTTACTCAAATACTTGACATAAGGGATAATGTTCACTACACCTGAATTTCATGGAGTTCTCCAAGAAACAGCACAATTTAATTGCCTAATGGGAAGAATATCTGTCTTCTTCAATATGCCACTTTTTTTTCAAACTACAGAACATTAGGATCAGAATCCCAAGTTCACCAATTTACCAATTTGCTATTTCATTTCAAATCTGCATTGTGCCTGATTTTTACAAAACCTTGACCTAGAATGATCAAAACCAAGTATTGCAATTCTGCTATCAACGTAACATTTGGAGGCACTCTATTATAACAGATATGAAAATCATAATCTAACTGTAATGTAGTCCTTATTGATTTCCTATATACAAAGCTTGTTACCAAACAGTAATTGCCTTTGCTAGTTTTTCAGTAAAGAAATTAAGTGCTTGCTTGCATATAATTTGAGATTGGCCCCTTAAAACACACTCAGTTATATTAAAGACATCCCTTTTATAATATACTCATGAGTAACGTTTTCTATTTTTGAACATCCTAAGGATTTCAGGGGAATGCTTAATTAGTAGTATGAATTCTTTGCAGAATTTCTAGACAATTGTTATTAAGAGAATTTATTGTTCATCAAATTAAACCGTCCTATCAAATATTACATTCAGCAACAATGGCCACTGTTTTAATTAAAAAGCTATTTTCAAATTAGCTATTATTTTCACTGTCATTGGTTAAGCTTTCAGAAATGTCATTCAGCCCAGCTTTGTTCAATGCAATAATCAAATTTTCCATAGTAGCGTGGATTCCTTCTTGATCTTGCCAGGTAACAAGCAACTGCTTAGCTCTCATCTTCAGATCTTCACTATCTAATTCAATCTGCCTTATATCAGAGTCTTTCATTTCCAAGTATGGAGCCAGGATTTTCCAATATTCACCAAGTCTGTTAGCAAATAATTCTATTTGTTCTCCTGTTACAAGCTTGTCCCGTTGAACTTCTGGACCTAAAACGAAAATGAGCAAGATTTAGACAATGCTATTCGATAATTGGACAGTAACCTAAATTGTTCCTCGAAACTGACTATTTTTCACTGAAAGTTCAAGATAACAGTGAATGTTTACCTGAGCATGATATAAATGCAAAGGTTTATTTACATTCCAATGCGTATAAAATGTTTACTGAAAACATGCTTAAGAAATATCTGATTCTTAAATTTACTACAAGAAAACAAAGATATTAACAATTATTTTACTTTTTTATCACATTTAGGAACTGCCCAGCTCTCTTACAGTATTAATTAAATAATACTGCGAAACTATAATATTTCTAGGTAATACAAATAATAATGTATCCAATTTTTAGCAAACACCTTGTCAGTAAATTGAAAATAAGTTGTCTGTATGAACACTGAAGATGTTCTCCCCAAATATATAGTGATGGGATTCAGCCGGTTCGCACCAGTTCGGCAGAACTGTTAGCTAATTTTTTATTGCCCAGGCCCAGAATGGACTTCCGGAAGCGGCATCCACACAGAGAACATATTTGAATCCCACCACTGCAAATATATAATGTATTCAGACATCTCAACAACAAAAAACAAGACAAAAAGGCTAGTGGGGAATTGGCCCTTGGCTTGCTTAAGACTAAATGTGCTAATTTACAATTGACTTTAGAAATAACAAAGAATTAAAATTTGAACAGTACAGAGGGAAGTCATTTTTAAGGTATACGTTACTGATAAGGGACAGTACTGAAAACCAAGCCTGATTACCTCAGCTCTATTCAAAAGTGAGTGGACCTCAGATGCAGAGGAGGAAAATTTCAGTTGGAGTAAGCTAGAGAATATGGCTATTCAAATTAGTAATAAGAAAATATAGAATGCCAAAATCTGAAAGTGCAGTAGAATAAATATGCAGCTAAACTACTGAAGAAAATTTTAAAACAATGCTATCTTGAATAAGGAAACATTAATGAAACATTGATTACATTTATACAGTCACTAAAAACTGAACATAAATTGTATATGAAATAATCATATGTGAAACAGGGAAGAAAGGGCTCATGCAAATGAATTTCAGCAGTAGGAATAAACAGCTTAAAAACAACATATGTTAAAAGTTCTCAGATTGGGAAGCAGAAAGAAATTGAAACTTTGAAGGTATTCCTATGATATTTGCTCTATGTTATGATGAGCCAAAATATTTTACTACTAATTTCTTAAATTGGAAATTAATTTTCAAAGATGATTCAACGGCTGACAAAGGGATTCCTTTTTAAAAAATGTAATCAAAAGAAGTTACAGGTAGTCCTCGACTTATGACTGTTGTAACAACCATTTGAAATTACAACCATGATAAAAATTTACTTCAGATCAGTCCTCATACTTCTGACCATCAGTGTCCCCATAGTCACATTATCAAAATTCTGGCAATTAACATGTATTTATGATGGTTGCAGCATCCTAGCGTCATGGGATAGCCATTTATGACTTCCCAGGAGGCTTTCAAGAAGCAAAACCAATGGGATAAACCATACTTGCTTAATGACACCATGATTCATTTAACAACAGCAGCAAAAAGATAGTGAAATCAAATACAACTAAATGACTGCATCGTTTAGTGATGGAGATTCAGTTCCAATTGTGGTCAAAAGTTGAGGACTACCTATATATTAAATCTGAAAAGCATTTCAAAGAAAATATTACAAAGATTTGAGAATGTGTCATGGGTTATCCAATAGTAATGCTGGATGAAATGTGAATCGGAGAGGCCATCCTCTAAAGAAGCTATAAAGCTGCAGCACAACACATATCTTTTCTGCTTCCAAGATACATAAATGTGAGACTCTTCATTTTGAATTGCAACTCAGAGCAGTAAACAAGAACTTAGTGAGACTGTTCTGTTCACAGACTCCTTTTTTCAATAGGTGTCAAAGGAAACAAGGAGAAGCCCAAGAATCCAGCCTTACTTTCATTGTTTTCTTTTAATAAAGCATCATTATCTTCCTCATCTTCATCCTCGCCTGTTTTAATTTCTTCAGAAGGAGGCTATAATGAGAGAATTGAGTATCACTGTATGTGTTTGGTCAAAAAAAATTGTTGCATGGTGGTATCTTGAGCACATGACAGAAAGTTTTGAAAACATTTGGAAATTATATACTGTACATTTAGGATTTTTGTTTTCACAGAGGCAGAGTACATCACAAACATTAAATAAAGAATAAAAACCTAAAATCTCTTTTCAAACGAGGCTCAATTGCATTTCTGAAGTTCGGATATAATAAACTCTTTATTGTACAAAATTGCTAGCTTGATAGAAATAATATCCCATTGCAATAAAAACATTTTAAAAATATTCCTAAATACTTAATAGTAATACAAATAAACTTGCTACAACTCATTCCAAACTTCATTGTCAAGGCAAATTTCAGTCTTTCCATTTTTTCCCCTTTCCCCCCTTTATACTGGCCAAATGAATGTCCAAACTCAAATATGGATCTTTTCATGAAAGCACAAGAAAGGGAGGGGGACTTTCAATGAAGTTCAAAACTAAGCAAGGAGAGAAGCAACCTAGAACTAAGGAGAAATTTCCTGGCAGTTAACAACAATTAACCAGTGGAACAACCTGCCTCCAGAAGTGGTGAATGCTCCAACACTGGACGTTTTTAAAGAAGAGACTGGACAGCCATTTGTCTGAGAGTTTCCTGCCTGAGCAGGGGGTTGGACTAGATGACCTCCAAGGTCCCTTCCAACTTTACTACTACTAGTAGTACTACTACTACTATTATCATCATCATTATCTAAGGAAACAAAATAAATAAACAAAAAAAATACTATTCTGCAGAGATTTCTATTCACAAACAAAACTTGACCATTTGTAGAGCAAATGAATGAAATTATAGGCAAAAATATCTATCGCAGAACATGGTCCCAATATTCTTATTACTTCTTTAAATGTTAGATATATAGTGGATGAAAGGAGATGTCCGGCATTAAAATTTGGTCATTTGGAATAGGATAGATTTGGGGAGATGAAGTAGAGGAGAAAATGTAAAGGGTAAAGGAACTTCCTAAAGTATTCCATTTTTCAGAGTAATGAGTCAAATCAAAATCCATAAGCCTTTATGTAGTTTTTCTCTTAATATACATTTTCTTTTTGGGTAAGTTAAAATATATACTTCATGCATCAGATGAATAGCAAAGTTGAGCAATGTTAAGGTGAAACAGCAGAACTTAAATAGAATATGTTTTATTGACTTTCTTAATCATGGTCACTACACTGTTCTGAATTTATTAATTTTACTATAAAAATTTATATTATTAATTACAGAATGAGATTGTAATATTACTGAATCTGAAAGTTAATCCCATTGTACTCAGTGGAATTTACTTCTGAATGGATAGATTTGCAGCATCACTTCATGATACAAAATTAAATATTTCAGTAACAAAAAGAGAAGAACTATGTCAGTTCAATACACTCTAAAGTTTCTCAGAACTGTTTTGCTTCTACTTTAAAAGCCTAGAGAGTAGAAAAAAGTTTTACATGACATAAATGTAAAGAAATAAAATGTTACTTTTGTATATTTATATTTTAATTATTTCAATTAAAACAACATTCATTGTAAGCATAGAATGTTCAAAATAATTATATGTATTAGACAATATTACTTACAGGTAATTCTTTTGCTAATTTAATGACCATGTTTTCAAGGTATTCCGGTAAACTTTTAAACTGTTGATTGGTTGGCTGAAAAAAGTGAGGACTTCTTCTTGCCAATAATCTTAATGCTCTCCAGCCATAGTTAGAATTATTCACAACCCTATGTTACAAAATAAGAATTAGACTATTTGATGATTAGGAAAAAAGTATTTTCTCATTACATCAAAATATGTTTTGAATATACACCTGAACAAGCAGAATTATGAAAAAAATTATTTGTGGAACATACTTAAATTCTTTATCAACCATGTTTTCAGGATCTGCCTGTTCTATAGCTTCTTCAAAAAACTCTTCCAATGTTGGCATATATTCTCTAGAAAATAAACAGAAAACAAGTGCTTTATTTGGAATGAAGAAATATTTCTTAAAATATTGCCCCCTCTCTAAAATAACAATGCAACTGTTAATTTTTCTGCTTCAACTTCTTTATGTTCAGAGTGAGAAATCCGTTGCATGAGCAATTCAATAAATTATTGAGATTATTCCTCTCATTACTATGTAGCCTATCACATGGCACATACATTCATTTAAAAAAATCATTCAGATTAAATTATCAAATAATAGCAGAGTTAATTACATTAGAATATGATTAGTGTAAGTTGGAGAAGCAATCCAATTTCCAGGAAGCCCCATTACTGGACAGAAGGTCTGTCCATCACTGTATTCTCTGCTAGGAGATCAGAGGGGAAATGTCTCTTTGCCTTTTCCTAGATGGAAAAAGGCAATGTATGCAAGAAAATAATGAACAATCATTTCCTGCCTCGTCTTACACAGACTTAGAGCAAAGTCTGCTAGCTGCAATTGGAATCTAACCCTTCCTGGGTTTTCGCCTTCCTCTACATCAGGGGTGTCAAACTGCCGGCCTGCGGGCTGGATACGTCATGCCGAAACCGCGCCCACCCCAGCTCTGGCAATGGGGAAAAAGTCACGATAGGTCGCGACACGTCATGTGAAGTTGCGAGTTTGACACCCCTGCTCTATGTCTTCCTAAAGGAGAAAGTGACAGGACAGCTGAAGTGTAATAACAAATGCAGGTATTTCAAATGCTAACACTAACAAAAACACTTCACATAGAAGGAACTCATGAAGGTTGGGCAAATGCCTTGCATAAGGATCTATGGGCTAGAGATACCCCACCTTTAATCTAGCAAGTCATGAAACATGATATAAAAGTTGCAAAAAACCCTTATTGATAGACTGAATTACCATTTGTCTATTTTCACATAGGTACGAGGCTACAAACCAGATCATGATTTCCCCAACTCACCTCACAGGCTTGTTATTTTGGGGAAAATAGGAGGAGGAGGAAGTCTTAGTTATGTTTACCATCTTGAGTTATTTATAAATATAATAAAGACAGGATATAAATAAATAAATTCTATTACATACTTTTGCTGATATATAAATAACCCAACCACTATGAAAAATATAGATAGGAATTCATTCATCAGTTTGTTTAAAAAAATCTAATCAACAACATCATGACAGAATGCAAAAGATTAAGAGCTACTACCCTTCATTATACCCTTCATATAATATTCAGTGCTTCATCCGTGGAAAAGGAAGATAAAATTGCAATTATCCCATCCTGACAGTTATCCAAATGCTACTCAAAGGATCAAAGACTCAATAAATAAGGGGAGATAGGCACAAAATAAAAACAAAAAGAACATAATTGATATTCAGGGATTTCCTGTTTACCTCAATTGTGGTACAAGGGCTTATCTATTCTTTTGGCAGTTTCCCCAATTTATGATTCAGTTTCAAGAAGCTGTAACATGTTTAACAAAATCATTGGCCAGCTCCAGATATCAGTAGCATTATCGTCACTAGAATGTTAGTTTAGGAAACAGAGTGTTACAGAAACTACAACAACTACTCACCGACTCTCAGATTTACACGCTTCCATGTTATCAGGGCATAAATTCCAGAGGCGAGTTAATTCTTCACTGCAAACCAAAATATAAAGCAGATTGCTATTTCTTATGTTTTGTGATTCATATGCCAAATATTTCTGAACACAACTACTTTTCAACAAAAGGCATAGGTCTATGGATGTGTTTTGTGTGCAGAGGTATGAGAGATGAAATAGACTTTATACCACTAACATTACCATCAACGAATAACAATGTTGTTATTCAATACTTTCCATATAAGAACTAACTTAGAATCACAGGCAAGTTTTTAATTCTATGCTCTCCTTTTTCTAAAATAAGATATGATTTAATAAGTAATTCTAATATGTAGAATTACTAATAGGTAAAATAAAAATAAATCTGCGTTAAGATTTATTTTTATTTTACTTATACATTTCTATCCTGATTTTTATCTTGAAAAGTAATCCAAAACAAATACAATTTATTAAAAAGCAAATAATTGATGTAAAGATATAAACAAATTTTATTACTACTATTACTAGTACTACTATTATTATTATTACTGTATTTATTTTTAAAAGCCTACAATCATTTTCAAAGAATACCAGGCAGTACAAACAAAAGCAGGTGATGAACCACATTCAAAAATTTAGCCACATTTTGCATTAGTTTCAAATTTCTGGGTGAACCTAAAGGGTAAACCTAGTGCAGTGTATTGCAATGATCCAATCTGAATTTATTAGCATAGGGTTGTTGACCAGATTGCCTATATCAAAGAACTATTGTAACTGATGCACCTGCCATAGATAGAAAAAGACCCTCACTGCCATGGAAACCACTTCAAGGAGACAAGTAACCTCTCTAATTCCCACATAAGGGACTATTGCTCATCAGTGTTTTGAACGTACATTTTAATCTTATCTTACCCACTTAGCCCATCTGATGTATAAGTACATATCTTAATTCTCCACAGCTTTTCCACTTTAAATTATGTGGAAAAACAGATGTTAACATTTACAATTTAAGCAGTACTTCCAGCCTTGCAATATAACTTTACATCATTTAATTTACAATACAAAGTAGAAATGAATTAATAAAGGACTGAACATACTTTCCCATTAGAATTTTTTTGTTAGGTCCTTTTCCTAGAAAATCTTCAGGAGCTGGTCTCTTTCGCACAAAAGGTCTCACTGGCTTGGAATCACTCTGTCTATAAAACAAGATGTCAGAGTTAAGAACTACCATAAGTGTAGGGTTACAGATGGTCCTCAAGGTATGACTGTAATGGAGCCTGCAGGCCATTAAGTGAAGCAGGGTGCCTCATGGGTGGAGGAGGCCCTGGAGGCCTAGCAAAGGCCCAGTCTTCAAAACTTGTGCTTTGCTTCCTGCCCTTTGACACCCTGCAGATTTTAGGGCTGATTTCCACCCCACCAGGTCCTTTACCCTCCTTTTCCCTAGGCTGTGGTACAGCCTCACAGAAGCCGCCACCATTTTGACATGCCCACATGAATGTGCCAGTTAAGATGGTGCAGACTGTCTTAAGTAACTGTGGATATGCTAAAAATGATGGCCGCTTCTGCGAGGCTGCTGCCCAACCCAGGGAGGAAAAGCGTGCCCTCCTTCCACAACATGAGGTATGGAGATCTTTAAAAGTTAAGTGTGTAATGGATGATGGGCATGGGGCGAGTAGGCCCAAGGCCTGTGGGGTCTCAAGGAACAGTCTGAAGGGGAAAGGAGCCATAGAGAGGACCAAAGAACCATTCCAGATAGTCTTCAACTTACACAATTGGGACCATAATTTCCTTTGCTAGCAAGGTAGATGTTAAGTGATTTTATGACCTTTCTTGCCACGGCTGTTAAGCAAATCCATCTTTCCCCATTGCCTTTGCTTGTCGGAAGCCTGGGGAAATAGCCACAGAGTATGTGTGGGAACAGGGAAGTCTGGGCAGGAGGACATTAATGGGTGCATGTGCAAGAGCAGGAAAGCTGGGGAAAGAAAATGTGGGGTGAGAGCAAAGCAGGGAAGCCTGGGAAGGAGAGCACTGGTGGGTGCGTACATGCGTTCGATCATAGAAAGGCTAGGGAAAAAGAGCATGAAATGTGTTCAGGAGTAGAGAGACTTGGGAAGAATGACACTGGGGAACACATGTGAGCTAGTGAAGGGAGGAAAAAGGGTACTGGTGGGTGTGTATAAAGTGAGCAAAAGTGGGAAAGAAAGTATGGTGCAAGAGAGCAAAGTGCGGATTGAGAGTGCATGGTGTGTGCGAACAAAGGAGAAAAAGAGGGCATGGTGTGTACAAGCGAGTAAAGAAATTCTGGGATGGGTGCAGGAGACTTGCCCCCCCAGTGGCTTGTGACCTCCCCTGCCAGCTTTACCACTGATTGTGCTTGTGGGAAGCCAACAGGGACTGCTGGCAAATGGCAGTCAAGTGATCATGGGCTGCTTAAAACTGGTTGTAAGTGTGAACAGATCACAATCAAATGACTGCAGGGGTGCTGAAACAGCCGTAACTTGAGGGACCAGTGATAAACGCCTTCCTTCAGCACTATCATAGCTTAGAATAATCACTGAATGAATGGTCATAACTCAAAAACAACCTGCAATGTTGATTAAAAATAAATGTTTTATATACGCAACCTTTCTTTCACAAAGCTTGGACAGCCCTCATTTTTCCATGAATTCCAATTTTCTTCTGTGTTTAATATATGCTGTAAAAGCAAAAAAATATCAGTAACAAAAAGATTCTTAAAGGTAGAAAGTGAGAGTTAGCAAAATATAGCTTTTCTATAATGCTGAACAGTAGAGGTGTTCCACTGAATGTAGAATAAATGTTAAAATCATTACATATATAAAGATATTTTTCAAATTCAGAATTAAAAAAGAACCTAGTGGAAGAACTGAATTCAAGGATCTAAAAAGCATGAATTTATTTTTAAATGATTACTGTGAGTAGGAGCCGGGTGCCAAAGAGATTAGCTTTACTTTAGAGGAACAACTTCGAAGCATACTACTATAATAGAGCCCAATTAAAATAGATGGTGCTTATTTAAACTTTGAGAGCTAGTTTGGTGTAGTGACTAAGGTTTCAGGCTAGAAACTGGAAAACCATGAGTTCTAATCCCATCCTAGGCACAAAGCCAGCTGGGTGATCCTGGACTCAGTCCCAGGAAGGAGGCAATGGCAAATCACTTCTGAAAAACCTTGTCAGAAAAATTGCAAGGGCTTCTCTGGGCAGTCTCTGAGAATTGAACAGAAGAAATAAAAATCTAAAGTCTAATTTAATTGAAATTTTGAACAAAGCACTTACCTCTACCATTTTGGAGAATCTTTCTCCATCAGGTGGGTTTTCTGATAGAAGCTGTAATTAGAAAAGCCATAAAAATCTAAAGTTGCAGCACAGAAGCTAAAAATGTGATGCTCAGCAATAAAGCTGGAATATAATTTGGAAATGTGTTCAAAATAAAATTTATGAAAAATTTATTCCTAAAAGCACCATTATAAAATTAGATGCACAAGATGATTAATTAATCTGACCTTGTAAACTAGTTTTGTGGTAGCTTCAATCCACAGGGACTGTTCATCAGTCAGAATATAGTTCGAACTAGGAAATAAGACACATATAAGTTAAAACATACACAGTGCATTTGATACGGGACTACAAGTCTTATCTGTAGGAGGAATTTTGCTAAGTCCACTGAGAATTATTTTTTTTAAAAAAAAAATTATATACCCAATAGCTTCTGTTTCTCTCTGAAAAACAAAAAATATGATGCTTGATGCAACCAAAACTAAGAAAATACTAACTGTACTGATTTTAATGGAACATAATTAATTTTAGGCTGAAGATGTACCTCTTTTTCAGATTTTCCCAGTTCTTATAAAGCAAAATAAATAATCCTTACTATAAAATACCATTCTGTATGAGGCTAGTTCACTCCAATCTTTTTCCAGCACCAGATCTTTTATTGCAGCAATTTAACTGCAAGGAAGATTGTATTTTTACAACTAGTTATCTCTCACTTGCCTTCAGTTACACTTTTAATTTACTACATTAATTTACATCTTATTTCTGTGTCCACCCAAGAACACCAATGACCTGAATATGCAAGATCACATTCAGAGAGTAGAACAGTAAGCAGACTGCCCAGGTGTCAAATGTATACAGATTTCTATAAAAGCAATGTAAATACTTATATCAAAAACATAGTAAGAAGTATTGCAAAATATAAAAAATTAAAATACAGTAATTACAGATCAATAAGCAATATAATCAAAGCCCAGTTTCTGTATTATCTTTAACTTCTTTCTATTTAGAATTTCAAATAGATCATAGATACTTTCCAACATAGAGTATTTAGAAGTATATGCATACAAGCAGACAATGATAGCAGTGAGTTGGATCATATATTAAAGTAAAAAAAATATTAAATATATTTAAAAGACTTTCCTAGCTTACCTTTTAAACTTTACTTGTCCTTTTAAGTACTGAAATAATATTAAATACTGCAATAGGATATGGCGGCGAAAATTGCTGTCACTCAACTGTAAATCCATTAACTATTAAAAAGAGAGATAGATAAACACACATTCTACAGTTTTCTGTTTTTAATAACACAAAAGTAAATAAAATGAAATTAATGGGGCAAGTATAATTAAAATGGGTGAAACCACACAAGAAGTTTGCTACAGTGTACTGGTTTTTGGAATCAATACTAAGTGCGTACATAAAATATTGAAATTAAATATGAAACTTAAATTTTAAAAAATGAACTTTTCCTATCTTGATTCTAAAAGAATAATCAAATACGAAGTCTCTTTAACTGATTCTGAAAGGCCAGATTTGTACTTGTGTTAAAAAGCTCATTTCATTAATCTTATTTGTAGAAAAAAAAGTTACAATGTTATTTGTGGGAAATGAAATAGCTTTAGCTAAGTACACATTGCTGAATACCTGGGTCAGGCAAGCATAATTCCAGGGACACACCTGGTTAACACATTTATCAATATTCTTAATCCCAATCACATACTAATCTAGTCAGAGGTGGGCTTTGTAACTAGTGGATCAAGTAGTTTTTGAATAAAAATCTTTTTTTTAATGCTTTACCCAAAATGACAACTTCCTTCAAGGATGACATCTGCTTTGCAATATTAAATCCAATCAAAATACAGAAGTTCTTTTCTTAACGATCACTTCTTCACACCTACAATGGTACTTATGACCACTCGTCATATCTGTGGCTGTTGTTGCAGTATCCCTGTGTCCATGTGATTGTGATCCACACACTCAGCGACAAGCTTGCAACCACAACATTGCACTATCCCACAGTCACACGACTGCCATTCTTTCAGCTGCCAGCTTTCCTGCCAGTTTCTCACACAGTCAAATGATGCAGGTTGCAAATGATGGCCACGCAATGTTGCACTTACTGTGCTTAATGATGGCAACTGTTAAGAACGGAACTGTTGTTTCTAAGCGGCACAATCACATGATGTTCTGCTTGACGACGACATTGTTAAGCAACAGAAATTCCTGCCCATGACTGCTAAATGAAGACAACCTGTACATTCCAGCTTTTTATTTCTTCATTGCTAGTGTAGAAACTAAGTTCTACGCCGCCAACTGTTTCTCTTTCACCCATCTACTCTGTGCAAGCAAAAAAGCCCAAAGCTCCAAAGTTCTGCTCTTTTTCTTGGGAAACCCAGAGGGACTACTAGCCAAGAGAAATAACAAAGCGCTGATAAGTGCAGGGAGTTCAGTGAGAAGACAATCAGGTAACAGTCCATCATTATTTTCTTGCCAACTGAAGTACTATTACAGTGGGAAAGATTAAGACAAAATTCCTCTTGCAGTAAAATCTACTTTTAGAGACAGGAAAAATATACCTTTTCACTTGTAAGAAATTTTGCAAAATAAACATGCTCTCCTCCAGTTTTCAGCTCTTCTAATTTTTTTCTTGATGCCTGAGTGTCATCCAACTTGCAGCTCTCAAAGACAGTTAATACTTCTTCCGAATACTTTTAAAATAGATCACATAAAATGGAACAATCAAATTATAGCCTCAAAACAGAAATGAGATTTGATGAGATGCAAAAGATGCTGCTCTACTTTCTTTTACTTCCATTACCTACTGTCCACGAATGCTTTTTATACACAAGTACATTAAAAACAAGGCTAGATAGCCATTACAGATAAAATCCCCTCAAACAAATTGTCATTTGCGCTGGGTTGTCTACAACTTTTAATTAATGTTCCTTCGATGCATTCTAAAATGTTTATTCGTAGGCATTGTATTTAGGCATGAAAGCTGCTGGGTGACTTTAGGCCAATTCCTTTCTTATAACCCAACTCACTTCAAAGTTGTGGGGAAAATAGGGGGGAGGAATACTAGGTATGTTCAACTTTTTGATTTATAAAAAAGTGGGTTAAAATAATAATATTTTTTGGCTTGGAATTCCAGAAGTAATATATATATACCCACAAATGGAAATGAAATAAAATAAGCACAATACCTTAAGAAATGTTTTCCAGGAGACCTTTTCATAGCACTGCACAGGATTTCTGAAGTAATCTTGAAGTGACCAAAATTTTCTGTACAGATTATAATCTATTGGAATGGAACTGACAAACCAATATTTATAATATATTCATTCATAAATATCTCTGGCTATTATTGAAAATAAATTTGGTACATTTATTACTTAAATACATACATACATACATTTGTTGTCCTATTGCAGTGATGGCGAACCTTTTAGAGACCGAGTGCCCAAACTGCAACCCAAAACCCACTTATGCATCGTCGGGTGCCGGCTGGGTGTGGACCATTGGCTGGGCACGGCCAATTGGGGGTGTGGCCCATTGAGTGGGCGTGGCTGTGGTGGTAACGGCAGACTGGGTGGGACTAAAAAGTTCAATCAATCAATTCCAACTTTGCAAGATCTTTTTTTTTCCGCGAGAAGTTGAAATTGACTGATTGAACTTTTTTTTTTTTTGCACACGGCGGCGGAGGCCTAAAGCGTAAAGGTTTTATAAAATCCAGCTGAAGGCCTAGGACTGGGGCAACGGCACACGTACCCACAGAGAGGGCTCTGAGTGCTGCCTCTGGCACCCGTGCCATAAGTTCGCCACCACTATCCTATTGATATTACATAAACACAGAAATAATAACTTGTTCAATGGATAAACATCTTTGCATCTCAATAAACATAGCCACAACTAATAATTTTCCCAATTTAATAAGATTTTAGTGATTACTAGACTTTCATAAAAATAGTAATCTATAGCAAATGTAAAAGTTACAGTTATTCTTTTTAATAGAAATAATTCCAATAGATTTCATATATTTTCTTTTATTTCACAACTGGGAATTTAAATTTATCTTTTCTTACCAACTTGTAGGAGCTTCATCATCTCCCATTTCACCTTCTTCTACTTCCATTCCTTCCTCTTTTTCCTCTGCATGCTAAAGTCACAGAATTAATTTAACTAATTACCATTCCATCTACATAAGTAGAAAAGTGTTGTACTCATTCAAAACAAAGCACTAATATTTTGTGCAGTTATTAATACTGGGAGAAGCAAATTATATGATACTTATTTAAAATTGGAAATATAAATAATCAGTAATCTGCTGAAAGACTTCAGTGGTTGCTGAAACAGAACAAACCATGAATATTTTTAAAATGTACATTGAAATTGATTTTACAAACTGGGAAGTTCTTTTTTCACTTCTGCCTTTCCAGCAAAATTTGTTCCTTAAACAACTGACATAATTCATGATTTTGGTGCAATATAAATTAAATAATAGACTGCAATTATACCTTATGCCAGAGGTCCTCAACCTTTTGGGCACCAGGGACCGGTTACATGGGGAGAGGTTTTTCCACGGACCGGAAGGGGCGTGGTTTTGTATGCTGCCTGCATCCTGTGGAAGTGGCTTTGCGTGTCTGTGTAGACCGCTTGCTGGCATGCCACGGCCCAGTACTTGTTCATGGACCGGGGATTGGTGAGCCCTGTCTTATGCCTAAAATCTCTTCTGCTCCTTCTTTTGAGAGAATTACACCCTACTTATTATAATTACAATGTTCCAAGTTTTCCATATTGTGTATGGAATACAATAACCAAGCATAACCAAGAATTAAAAAAAAAAATAACCTTCTGTCCAAGGGTGCTGTCTTGTTCACTGGTATTAAAAACTGTGATATTTTCCAAATTAAATTGACTTTGCAAGTTAAGCCCTGTAGGGGGAAAAAAATCTGATCAGGCAAAATAATCTGAAGTTATATTTGCAAATATCATAGTTTTCTGAGCAGTTTATAAATAATTATACAATATTTCAATTTAAAAAATGCAGACAATAGTATCTAAGAAAATTTGGGAGGGAAATGAAAATGGCAGATTACATATATAAAATATTATAAAATTAGGACCGAGTTGGGTTTGAAATATATGTGATGGATTAATCTGTTCATTGTACTCCTGCTCATGCTGTCACTTAAAAAAGAAACTTACCTGACTTTTCTGAAAGAGGGAATAACCTGGCCAAGAAGAGCTGAATTCTTCCACAAAACACTGTATTTTGTGATTTTGACAGTCTTCTTAAAAGATCTTAATGATATCAAAGAAAAAATTACTTAAGTTTCCACATTTTAAAAATGTTACAGGGATAGACTCTGGTATCAAACAGACAGCAGTAAATACTTTCCACAAATACAATCATACATTCTCTTTAATCTTCTGTTTTTTAATTTATTTTCCATATATTACATGGTGTTACTAAGTTGCATATGTACACAGTTCTAGCTCCTTTTCAGACAGATAAATTATTCAAATAAAAATGCAGATATGTCAAGCAAAATGTGCTAAATAAATCAGTATAGGTAGTCCTCAGCTTACGATCACAATTGTATTCAAAATTCATGCTAAGTGATAAATTTATTAAGTGAGTTTTGCCCCATTCTACTATCTTAACAATCTCTCATTAAGGGAATCACTACCGTTAAGTTAGTAACACAGTTGTTAAGTGAATCTGGCTTCCCCATTGACTTTGCTTGTCAGAAGGTTGCAAAAGTTGATCATATGACTCCGGGACACTGCAACTGTCAGTGACATTGTAATTTTGAACGGTCACTAAACGAACTGTTACAAGTCGAGACTATCTGTAACGTTTCATTACAGAATTATATTGTTAGATCTCGATCAACAATAGTAAGAAATGAGTATAGTTTAACAAGCAGAATTGAAAATTACACTGAAGGCTTGCATCTTCATTGGCAATGCTAGGAAAAAGGCTACTCACCATTGCACATTCTCAGTAAATAATTCTTTCCCGCAGAGTAAAATGTGTTCTAAAAATAACATAAAATTCAATGATATAATTAGTTGATATTTAAAAAACAGGATACAGTTAATTACACTTCAGTAAGATTGCGAATAGTGTCTTATGCATGCTATAAATATATATTTCAAGCAAAATTAGATATGTTCATATTTATTAAATATTTACAATAGGCCTTTGTAGTTACAGTGCAGCAAAAACACTTCAAAGAAAAATGCAAAACCACAAAACAAAATATATCTAAACATTCACTTTCAAATCAAACTGTAATTTCAAAGCAGAATAAAAATAAAATGCATTAAAATGTTTTAAATAAAAATAAACCAATGTACTTTTATTGATAATTAATTTTAATAAAATACAGACAGATCAGGAATTGGCATGCATCACACTGAGGTTATTCCAGTGTTGTGGTATTATGGGCAAAAAATTATTAGCTCAAAACAATGGTTGAAAAACAGGCAAATCAAATAATGTTCTTTTGGTCAATTGCCAAATCATATACATACATATCAATGGTATGAATGATCATAAAATAAGCCCAACCCTAACCTCACAGAACAAATATTTTCCAACATAGTCAAAAAGACTTAAAAATAGTCTTATGCCAACAATGCATTTTTCTTTTATAATCTAAAAAGCTATTATACAAAATTTGGCTTTCTTTATGTCTCTATGTCTGCATATTTGTGGGTAAGAACCGGCAAGCAAAAAAGCAGATTGTGACACATCATAAGATCAGAATAATGAGAGAATATGCTTCAGAAAACAGAATTTAGAAGGACATGTTCTGCTGATTCAACTTCCCCAGAAATGCAAAGGCAAATTCTTTTCTTATAAGGAATTTTGTTCTCCCTGAGAAAGATATTTACATTTTGCCAATAGGAATAACTACGCTGAAGACAAGAGCACTTTGTAAGACTTATATCTAATTCACACTCCCAGCAATGATATTTTGGGGAAGATAGTCCTTTGATGTATTTGAAAAATAATTTGTGGTTTTAAATACTAAACTGAATATTTTAGACTAATCTAAAAAACTGATTAAAATAAAGTAACACAGGGAGTTATAAATATGTTTTAATCCATGAACCAAAAACATTTTGTTATATTTTTAATTAGAACCATAGTTTTGAGAGATCATCATAGTCCACCTACAACAATTTAAGAACTTCTCTGAGTTATTTGCTAGTTAAATATACAGTACTAATGAAACTCACTCTAAGGAACCATTGTGGGATAAACATCCAAAAAATGTTGGATTTAGGATTGCTGTTAAAACTGTGCGTCCACTGCACTCACAAGTAATCTGTGGCCAGTGGACTTAATAAAGCATATGAAAGTTTCCAACTTTTATCTTAATTTTTTTCAGAATCCCACCACTGCTCAGAAATGCTTGGTTCTTAAGTATTTGCACTTCTTTCCTGCAACTGACAAATGACACGATTAAATATTTAATCATTTAATACAGAATGATCAATTTGTATTATTCCAAATAGCATACCTGTTTGTTTTACACAATTCCTGCACGCTATCCAAATTATTCACTTATTAATTTACTACAAAAATGAAATTAAAAAACTTAATAAATTCCATGATACTTACTGATTTCCACGTAGTAACATTTTTTTCCACAAAGGTGAAAATTTTGTCACACTGATCCAAAGGAAGGCAATCCAAAACATCTCCCAAGAGCACAAAAGGAGTTGATGCTGTACAAATACCTTCATGGGAGAGAATCTGTTTATATGTCTGCCAAAATGATTTCTTTTTATAACAAGTAACAGTGGGGATTTTTTTCAAGAATCTTGCTAAAGTTACCAATAATAATACAGAATTTGATTTTAATTTAGTGGTATTATCAAGTATAATAATCATTCTAATCCCATGATAATTTTCTCTTTTCTTTAGCAAGACTCTGTTGTGACAATCAAATGTATAGTATTACATATAACAGATTACATATACCAAATTGGCATTGGACAAAAGGTGGAAGTAGTACTACTTCCAACTGGACTGACAAAGTAAACTGAACTAGTAAAGATATTTTGCACAATGCATTATTGATATATACTATGTGTTAAATAATATAAATAATATGAAACACTTTTTTTTAATTAATACACATTCTAATCATTACTTTTGATTTCAAAGTAATTACAAAACAAAACACTCACCTTCTATGACCCCATTAATAACAAGTGAAATGATAGCCAGGACATTTTCACAAGAAGCTTTATTTATCTAAAAAAATATAAAAATAATCATCAAGAGTGGAATCATATGACCCTTGGAACAGAATACAGTGCATTATCTTTATGGACTACATTAGAAAGTTGTTATCTATTTTCCCTGTGGTCCTCACAATTTTTTGGAAAAACAAAATAGAAAAAAAGTGCTTTATTTCCAGGAGTGGAAGTGGTGAGAAATATTAGGGTCATGTTGGGGTATAGACTAGATTTTGATAACAAGTCTCATGAATATTCCACTTTTAATGGCATTAATGATACCATTAATGATATTAATGATAAGAACCAAACAGTTTAATTACTTATCTTGCTCATCACATACTGATAGTCCTTGTTTAGCAACCACAACTGGGACCAGAAACTCAATTACTAAGTGAAAAATCAGATGACTGTGACTATGCTTATGATTTTACCTCAACTTTCCTTTGCTTTACATGATAGAAGCTTATGACTCCAAATCATATAACTTCAAACAGTGGAGAAAATTTCCAGAACTCAACTCAGGAGGAAGCTGGATAAAAGGGCAAATCTTATAGTCCCTTTCCCCCACTCCACTCCCCCCATGAAATGCTCACCCCAGATTTGAGATAATTACAAGATGGGAAATAATGTTTGTATTTTGTATTTCCTTTCATTGGAAAGGAAGAAATAAGAGATTAACCAGACATGTAATAGAAAATACACATTGAAAGGAATGTACTATACTAGCTATTTACCTAGCACACTGGCATTTAGGAGGCAAAAAAAAGAGGAAAGTGTGAAATTAATTAAGGTTTTGTCAGTTACAACTAGCAGCTGCCAGTCAGCTAATTAAAGTCACAGAGCATTCTCTCCACTCTGTGAGGGGAAAAAAGAAAAAAATAATAGGTCAGGCACAAGATAACACATAGTGACTGTAATGGCAAACATGTGACTGAGACACAGACACTGCAAAGGTCATAAATGCAGGCATTGGTCACAAATTTACTTTTTCATCACAGTCATACCTTCAAATTGTTGCTGTCTGAGGCAGTTACTATACAAGGTTTACTTGTATAGCATCCTTGACTCCAACTCTAATGTAATGCAAGGTAAATAACATGTATGAACAGTGCTTCTTTGGGCCATAGATTCTGTGCAACTAAATATTCTGAAGCCATATGTATAAACATACGGATTTAGAGATGTTCTCACCTTGACTAAAGAAATGGAAAAGTCACAACTGAAGCAGTGTTAAATTGCTTCATTGGGCTGACACAATATAATCTAATAGAATTTAAGGCTCACTGTAACTAATATAAATGCACAAAACTCATTCATTCAGGAACGAAATGCATTGTTCCTCCTCTGTACACTCAACTGTATGCTCAGCTTCCTCATGGTCATGCTGTTTCAGAGTTGATTCAAAAGCTGCAGAAGTAGATCTGTTGAACTGCACATAATTTGAAGTGTTCTAGACATTCAACCTTGTCTTGAGACCAGACTACACCCACACATCTGGAAGTTTTCTTCCATAAACTTAAAAATTATATATGGTTTAGAATGATATCACTCAAGATATTCAATTAACCTTCACATACACAGTTAATCAAAAACTACTCACAATTTCTTCTTCTAGAGCAACTCGGAAAGCTTGGTCCAGTGTTAACTTTTTTTCATTTTCACTAGAAATATATAAAATTAGATTGTTTTGCCAAAACTTTCAATTTCAATAAAATACTATATATATATTTGTTATGATAACAAATCAAATTGAAATTCACCTTCCAGGTATCTGACTGAATGCGTTCAATAAAGGCTTAATGGTTTTGTTTTTGAGTGCATCTCGAGTAGAGTTCTAAGATAAAAATGAAAATAACTTATTTAGTATCAGATATTAAAGCAATATGTGTTTAAAAATCTACAACAAAATTACATTTAAAAATATAATTCAAGATGGCAAAAAATACTGTTCTCCTAGAATCTACCACACCTCAGACTATGGAAAGTGTCCCATTTTTCTATAGGTCAGCATCTAGATACCAATAGTATCTACACATCTAGATACTATTTTCTGTAGGTAATCTTTGAACCATTTAGGACATAGACTGGATTATAGCCAATAAAAGTGATGACAAACTAAACTCCTGTTCTGCTTGGACGAGCCAAGAGTCTTCATTTATTATTTTACAGAATCAAAACAGCACGGTTTTAGAACCTCTGTCATACAGTAAAATAATAAATGAAGGTTCTCAGCATATCTAAGCAGAACAGGAGTGCAATCTGTCATCAGTCCAGTTGTGTGTACAAGAATGGCTTGTATATCAAAAGTGAATACTTATCAAAACTTCCTTCCAGGGCTGGGGCTCTCTTTTTATGACTTCTGTTTTGCAACTGAGCACTGCACAAGGTGAGGCAGCCAAGACCAAGGTGTTCTTACCTGGTCTTAACTTCCCCAACTTCTAAGAGCAGCTCTATCAACTACTTCTTGGGGATGACATGCTGAGCTGATGTTGAACCTTCATGTCTATTCTACGCACCACTTCCAATATGGAAGGACACCTTGTGATGGGAGGCAAAGCTTAGCTAGGCTGAACAGGAATGAATACACCCCATCTCAAATTGGCAATGAATCCCTTGGGATCCCTACTCATCATTTTAATTTTCTGAAATACCGTAACTACACAACTCAACTTCTGCAAAAGTGATCAAATATAAATGTGCTACACTGACTGTTGTAAAACTACTCTGCCAAAATCATAGGAAAATTTCAATCAAGGAGGTTAAAGTTCGAAGCGCATTTATTTTAAAGAGCAAAGCCCACAAACCGGAGGGCGGGTTGCACGTAGTTAAGAAGTTTGCTTTTTATCCCCGTTGCTGGGGCTTTAACTTCGGTTGGTTATCCGTTGGTTTCTCTCAGGTGAGCGGTCCGCGCGCGAGAAAAAAATATCTCCATTCTAAACGCTGAACGAGGATGAGAAAGCAACCGACGCCAGGATGAACCCGGTAGAGAAGCACGCAAAGGACGCAAAGGGCCCATCGTTACTCGCACTCTATCTGAAATCCAATCGGGACATCTCTCACCCCATCCGACAGCAGCCCCCCCCCTCGCTCGCCACTTACCATGAAACGCAACCGCGCCTCCGGCAAGCTAAACAGCGTCGGCGGCGACATACTTGCTTCTGACAGACTCAACCGGTGACACTTTCTACTGACGTCATCCTACGGCGCTCGGAGTGGATTCTATTCACTCGTAGTCCCGACGTACACTGGGTCCTTTGCAGCGGAAGCTGTAGATGTTTTAAACAAGACCGTGCTTGGCTAGGGAATTCTGGGATTTGAAGTCCAGGCATCTTTAGCATCTGCTAAAGTTAAGAATCTCTGCTTTTAACAGATTGCCTTTTCTCTCCAGCAGGTCTTCCTATTTCTGGAGTTGTTCGTAGAAGTAAGTTAAAATATATTTATTATTTTTTATCTAAATCGAGGCTTTTAGTTAATAATAAAAATTATGTAAAGGTTTATTGTGTTTTATGAAAATTTGTGGCCAGTGTTATGTATAAGACAAAAAGCAGTTGCACAAAGCCAATTAGCATACACCAGGTTTGATTGATTAATTTGATTTGATTTATAGCTACCTATCTCACAATAGCAACTCTGGGTGGCTTATAACATTTAAAAATAATATAAAAAGATTATACAGAAACATAAACAACAGTCAAGGAGCCAAACCAGTATAAACAAATAATAATCATATCATCTGCTCTAGCGCACCCCAACTCTCATTCCCCAGGAACACACTCATGCCTTAAGAGCCTTCTGAAAAGGTGGCAGATTGGGATCAATCTAATCTTGTGGAGCAGCACGCACAGCCACAAGGAAGGGTCATTTCCTGGTCCCACAAGATGAGATTCTTTAACTGATGGAGCCCTTAGCAGTCTTCTCTGTTGGATCTAAACGAATGGACAGAAACAATCAGAGAGAGCAGTGCCATAAATTATCTGATCTTATGCCATAAAATTATTTATAAGGAAGACCCAGCACTTTCAATTGCTCCCTCATATGTCTCCCTGTGGCCAGGGTAGCTCATGGAACAGAGGTGTAATATGAGTGCACCAAAATGTATCATAACTGCTCATACCACTGCATTCTGTTTCTGCTGCAGTTCTGGATGCTTTTCAAGGGCAGCCCCATATCCCAATAATCTACTTGGGATATGACTATGTCATGAGGGACTGTAGGCGTAGTCCCGCCAGTGTAGGAAATGGTGCAACTGATAGACAAGCAAAGTTGTGCAAAAATCCTCCTGCCCATTCATTGAATAGGAGTTACAAGGCCAAGAGGACTATCAAGTGCACACTGGTTCCATTTGTGATAGTGCAACTCCCTCCAGAACTAAAGCTGGAAAATCCTTGAATACAGAACTCCCTAAAACTCAAAGTCACTTTGTCTTCCCAGGATTGAACTGAAGTCTGTTCTTCCCCATCCAGGATATATTTACAGTCATAGTAAAAACAATAACTATACAAGTATGAAATCCTAACCTTTAAGCCTGATAACCCTTCCAATAAAAATTCTGTTCTAAAAACCATGTAGTTTTTTATGTGGTTATTCAGCAACGTCTCATTGTGTTTCATGATGTCTGGATGCTAATAGCATGCTTAAAATTGCTCTCTCTAGAGCATGGGTGTCAAACTTGCCACGTCACATGACATGTCACGACATATTGTGACTTTATTCGCATTGCCGGAGCTGGGGTGGGTGCGACCTCCACATGATGCAACCGGCTCGCAGGACAGCAATTTGACATCCCTGCTCTATAGGCACCTAGTTGATTTATTATTAATTTAAAACCATTTCTACTCCACTCATCAACCAAAAATTCTCCCAGAATATGAAGTAATTATCTAAAATAATGCAAAAGGAAAAGTGATGATAGTAAAATAACAAATTTAAATGATTCTTGTGATGTGTATTCCTTCCTACTGGTATATGCAAGTTAACAGCCCAGTATACATCACTGAACATAAAGACATAAACTCTGGCTTATATAGAATGGCCTCTACCATTTCAAGATGCAGACAGAAGGGAGGAGCGCTAGTTATTACTTTGACTGTATTGCAGAAAATTAGCAGTGTAGGAAGGGACTGAGAAAGAATCACAGTGGAGGCTTCTGGAGTGCTCCATGCCCATCAGGTGCAAACTGGAGCAATAGGGAGAAGAGTTTTCAGTACTGTTGTCCTTGTTATGAAATGCTCTGTGCCAGGAGGGTTGCATGGTACCTGTATGTAGTGTTTTTAGCATCAGAAGAGCTTTCGTTATTGTCCTAGTATTCTCTCTATATATTATTAATCATGAAATAATATAAACATTTTAGAAAATATTTTGTGTTGTTAATGTATTCATTTCAATTTTGTTAATGAATTCTTCAATGCTGTAACTGGAAATAGACATGTGCACACACACTGAAAACATCTTTTTTGAGTGCACAGCAAATGGGAAGTCAGGAGTTGCATGTGGTACAACAGGAAGAAAAAATACACTTCAGCATAAAAATAATAGTCAAAAGTATAGGAATGCAGTGAACTGGTTCCCATTAGTGCTTTATTCTACCAAATAAGCAGAATTATTGGGTAGAATATTCCAATACTCCTTTCATAGCAAAATGAAAGGAGTGTTGGAATATTTGTCTTCAAAGATATTTGCCTTTTATTTATTTTCCCACTTCCTGGAATAAGACTATTTTGTTTAATTTGCTTATGTCTAGTAGAGTTACTGTATAGCATTATTGTGCCAGTAGGTGTCAGAGCTAACACAGAAAATAAACTTGTGTTGTTTGTCTGTTTTGTTTTCCAGCTTACATAGATCACTGGTGCTTGAGGCATTTCAACTGCAACTTCTACACAAATCAAAGTTTCTACACAAATCAAAGATAAATGTAAGTAATACATTTAGAAAATTGGGGAGGGGAAAATGCTAGGGCTATTTTAAACAGCAACTGTATTATTGTTAATGCTTTCTTAGCAATGATACTCATACTGTTTTCCTGTATTAATCTGAAAGAAAGTCATATGCAAGTCGACTAAGCATATGTTTCCTCCTATATTTTAGAACCTATTTTTCATTATTAGTATTCCATTTTAAAATGTGCTCATACAGACAAGACTAATTCAGTTAATGGAAGCTAGCTACTGTAATATTTTCATTCACTGCTCATTTCTTGATTCATTTCCTGCTATTTATGTGTGATCAACAGGAAAGAACATCTCTCAGGTAATAAGTTTTAAATTTGAAGGCACTGCTAAAAAATGCTTACACTGAAAAACGTTATGAAAATCCAAACGCTGAATTATTACACACAATTTTACTTTGCCAAACTTACTAAAAAAACAACTTTAAAACATTTTTATGCTTAATGTGGCTAAAGGAGAATAGAATGACAGCACCAGCAAGTAGAAAACTTTGTAAATAGTGTTGTTTCCAGTAGTAATACACTATTTTCAAACCAGAAGTATTTCATTACATTTTTAATTGAACATTGAAGTCAAGGATATGAAAGAGAACATGAATATGACACTTTATAGGGGAGATGGATGACATAAAAATTTAATGAGTAATAAATAATAATGGAGACAGCTTTGTCCCCTGCTACAATACTTTTAGTCAGTTATATCAAGTCATATGCTTTTTAAGAAATGATCTTTATTCCTGTATTTACTGACTGGAAAACTGACAGCAAATATATTTTGCCATCCATCAAGCTTAATGTTTATGGTGACCCATTTCTATTTTTTTATTTCCTGCTTAGATTATCAGTGACAAGATCAAAGAGTAACTATATATACCTAATCAAAGCCAGTCATATTTTTTAAAGTCAAACCATTGATTACTTAGTGTATTTTAGTTGTTGAAACGTAGAAATTTTTACTTCATTTCTTTCTGTCAGGACCCTGCATTCAAGAATCTATGTTTTTAATTCTTTCTCCCATACACTGATCAGACTGCCTGATTACTGGGTATTTCTAAAGTGTCTGAAAGAGACTAGCATACAGGGTTGTGTATATTTCCAAAGACACGTTTTGAGCAATTGAAGCATAAGCCATGTTTTAGAAACAAAGAAACCACCCATTGATTTGAGTTGCACAATATAGTGATGAGAAAAAGCTTCTCATATTGGTATTAGAAAAAAAAAACATCATCGGGAATGGAGACAAAATTGCACTTGTGATGATCTATGGCAAGAATGTTATGGGGTGTCGGACCCTCCTTGTATTGCCTACTCTTTCAGCAGTCTTCAATACCATAATTGCTGACCTGCCTGAAGGTCAGGAAGGGTGAGGAGCAGAGTTTTGCGATGGTTCGCCTACAGGGTAGTTCCAGTAGATGGTGATGATGGAGAAGAGATTGAGTTTTAGGCTCCTGTATTTATTTATTTATATTTAGACCCATCTTATTGTACACATTTATTATTAGATGGATGATAAGGCTAGAATGACTAGCAGCAAGACATTTTCCATTACAGTGCTGACAGGAACACCATTGGAAGACATGAAAGGCCATGTTGGCAATAAGCCATGTTGATAGACAGTATTTATTTTTAAAGGCCAAGATTTAACACTTAAGAATTCAGGGGATCTGACTTTTTAGTAAATATGGTTGCCTAAGACTGATTGTCCAGAACTGAATGAACTGTTAAGACAGAATGAACTATTAAAATGTGTTGCGGATAATACTACAAGATTACTGGAAAGTAAATTCATGACTAAATGTATTCCACTTTCAGTTTACCTATCAGCAAAACAACTTCCCCTCAAAAATGACTGGAGAACTAATGTAAATATTATAAGCAGCATTCCTATATTATTATTGCCACACTAGCAAATTTCAGTTTATATAATGATTACACAAATGGAACATTTAGGCAAGTAAAAACATTCTGTTTTTTTAAAACAGAATATCTTCAAGTTATTTATCATAGAAATTGGCAAGCCAAATTCATTGCGAAATTACAAACAGATTCCTAAAACCCTTTAGGTCATTTCCTTTTGGGCATAGAAAGAATGACTACCCCCACTCCCTCATTACTTAGTTTAAAGCATTTTCATGCTCCATTCTAGTCACTACATAAACAAAAACAAACACAGTGTTCTCAGTAATATCCTTATGTTTTATTGTTATTGTTAGGTCAACTGCATATTTGGACCCTGTTCAAAAAAGCAAAGTGTTGATTTTCCAAATATTTATTTACCATAGTTAGTGAAATTTGTTCAACTGCATTGCCAGAAACATGCTGCATGATTTAAAGACTCATTATTCCCAAGCTGATCAGTAACAGGATCAGAGCCCAATAATACTACAAATACCATAGGTAGCTATTTTATTTCAGGAGCCAAGAAAATGTATAATGTTATTTCTCTGAGGTATGACGCATGTTCATTTTAATAAAATGAAGATAATATGCAGCGATCAGTACACAAAAACATAGTTAGCACATAATATTAATTTTCAAAAATCCTAAACTGACTTTCAGTGCCATTATAGATACTATGATAGCTATTTACATCTACTTCTTCTCTCTCAGGAAGTCAAGGTGGAAGGGTAACCTGTTCCCGCCCCCACCCACACACCCACACACCAGTAGGGGGGGAATTGGCTGAGAAAGTAACTAGTCCAATATGAGTTTCTATGGAAGAAAAGGAAGATTAGAACCTAGGTCAGTTCCTTTCCTAGTCTGATACATGACCCACTGCCTTCCACTGGCTCTCAACCTTGTAGTTGTTTTAGACACCAGTCTTGCAACTTGGTGAGGATCCAATTAATGACTGCTTTAAAAATAAAGCAATAAAAAATGTGTGAACACAGATTAAAAGCATTTCAAGTCACAATTTTCATGTATTCATGTTCAGATATGAAATGCCAATACCATATAGGAAAGTTTCAGGTCTACTTTGGAATATGTATATATAATTTATAAAAGGTGAAAGAATGCCATCTCTTGCATATATTGCTTTTTTCATGCGGATCTAATTGCCTGATAAATTAATTATTCAGTAACTCATAAGATTAACCAAGTTTTTTTTAATAAAATAAAAAGAGCCATATTTTCTAAGCAACAGTTAAGGCAGTTTGAGTATTAGGAAGAGAAGCACAGCTTCAAAAGAAGTACAGTACGTTAGCAAATGAGAAATTATTATTAACTTGTTTCTTAGAATATAAATAATATAGTACTATTCTTTTAAAAGATTTCTTATGTTCCCCTTTTTTAAAATTGAAGGCTGTCATTTTTCTTATAAATATCATAGCTGTTTAGGAAATATGTTATCAATTCACTCTATATACTTGAACCAGGAAGCTTAATTTATTTTTATTGAGTTGGAGTTTTTTTTATGTGTGCACATGAACAAATTTTCTCTTTCTTTCTTCGTCCTTCTGTCCCACCCATTCACATAACATATGAACAGATAGTCTTCAGCTTACGATCATTTGCTTTGCGATCCTTTGAAGTGACAACAGTACTGAAAAATGTGACTTACAACTAGTCCTTGCATTTATAACCATTGCAAAATCCCCACAGTCACATGTTCAAAATTCAGGTGCTTGGCAACTGCATGTATTTACAACAGTTGCAGCATCTCAGGATCATGTGATAACAAAGCTAGTGAATGAAGTGGCAATAGCAATAGCACTTAGACTTATATACCGCTTCACAGTGCTTCACAGCCCTTTCTTAAACAGTTTACAGAGTCAGCATATTTTCCCCAACAATCTGGGTCCTCATTTTACTGACTTCGGAAGGATGGAAGGGTGAGTCAACCTTGAACCGATCAAGATCAAACTCCTGGCAGTGGATAGAATTAGTCTGCATTCTAACCACTCTGCTACCACAGCTCCTAATAACCTTGTGATTCATTTAACAGCTACAATGATTCTCTTAACAACTGTAGCCAACAATAATAATAATCATAAAATCTGGTTTGACAGCCACCTTTCTTAGCAGTGGAAATTATGGTCCTAACCGTGATCGTACATTGAGGTCTACCTGTACATGCAAACTCCAATTTTAAACTTAGTCGCACATTATTATAAAAATGTGTGTAGGTGGGAAATGACTAAGACAAATTTGACAGGTTTCCAAGACAAACTGCTTTCCCTCAGCCTCTGATGGGGAAAAGTCATTAGATTCATAACGCACTGCTTTCAAACTGTGAGGTTTTTGTTTTTTTTACTGCAAAACACTTTGCTGAATATTTAAAAATGGCAAAAGTTAAGAAGAAAAACAATTTTGCATAGACAAACTTTTCAGAGGATGTAAATCTGTTTAAAAATTCTCTGCCCATAAGGGCTGGCAGCTTTTTTTTCTATCTGAAAATAATTATAATCTTAAAAGCCTTGTTAAGAGAATATTTTTCAGCAGGAGGGGGCAAGTATGAAATGTCATAGCAATCACATTCCTCAACAATATTGGGAAGGAAAGTATGGTTGCTGCTGCTGCTGCATTGTTTGCATGCCATGTCAGTTTAAGTTGGGAGAAGTGAGAACAATAGAAGCCATTCAGGCAGAGGACTTCAAAATGAAATAGTGGTTTGGCTTGGAACTTAGATGGGAGAGCTCTACTTAAATCTTACTCTCCTATTTGGTAAACCTTTAAACTTTAAGATCTGACTGCCTAGTTGTCTGTACAGCTTTTTTCTGTCTTCAATAGTTCTTTGGGTTTTACCTAAATATACGGTAGAGAAAAGTTCCTTTCGGCTGGGTTCATTTCTATATTTGTATATTTCTGGGCGTGGTCTGTATCCAGTTAGTCCTCAACTTACAATCACAATTGAGACCAACATTTATGTTGCTAAGCCAGACATTTGCTAAGTGAGTTTTGCCCCATTTTACAACCTTTCTTGCCACGATTGTTAAGTGAATCACAGCAGTTGTTAGGTTAGTAACACGGTTGTTAAATGAATCTGGTTTCCCCATTGACTTTGCTTGTCAGAAGGTCACAAAAGGGGATCACATGATCCTGGGACACTCCAACTGTCATAAATATGAGTCAGTTATCATTAATTTTAATTTTAAACACATGACCATGGAGATGATGCAACATTCATGTGAAAAACAGTCATAAATAACTTTTTTCAGTGCTGTTCTAACTTTGAACGGTCACTAAGTAAACTGTTGTTAATCAAGAACTACAGGTACATACTTTCAATTCCTTTTTATGATTGTTCTACCCACTCCTAAGATCTCAGAATGTAGATTCAGGAGGAGTCCAGTAACACCTTTTCTATCAAATTTTATTAAAAGGCACAACCTTTCACTAAATCAGATGCATGGAGTGGCTAAACTGATGCAGATGGTGCCTGGGGAAAGGTGAATATAAAAGTACAGGTTACACACAAGACTGAATGAGACCTTCTGAGAGCATTTGAAATCTGTTGACATATGTGAATTCAGCAATCTCTCAATTGTATTGGTCAAGCATCTTTTTTCTTTTGACCTTTCCCCTCCCAAAATGGCTATTTTGAAATCTCTAATGGACCCAAGATTGACATCAGAACTCAAAATAACATATAGCTTCTTGGAAAAATGAAAAAGCCACACGTATCAGGTCATCTGTCTATGCAAATACATAGATCATGAACAATTAACATGAAATATGATTTCTTTTTTGAAACTGTTATGCAAAATCTTCATACATATGATATGCATATGCACAGGAAGCCCTTATATGTACAATTTACCTTGATGTAGTTGCATTGCTTTTTTATTTTTTAATATTTTTCTATATTCTGTTGTTATACATACACAAAGAGCAAATTCTATAAGAAGTCAACTTGCAAGATTATCTGAATTGAGTTTGAGCCTGTTGGTCCCAAGTAAGTAAACAAGATTCTTTAAAACCATCTATGTTTTGCTTTCCTGCCTCACCTGATTAGTGAAAGATTTCAGGCATGTAACAGGCTAGTAATCAGTGGAACCTTGGGAGAAGCAGTGGTGAATCTTTCTTTGAGGAGAGTGGTAGTATCCTCTTTCCTCAAAGCCTTATTGCTATTCCAATTGGGGAGTAGAGAAGCTCTACTCTAGAATTCTCCACTGTGGACTGCAATAACCATAATGATTTCATCCCATTTTGGAGCTCCTGTTATGACCTGGCTCAGGTTCAGTACTAGCAGGACATTCAGTACTGGCTCTGGGTACAGAAGCCAACCAAATTCATTAAGTTTCCATTTTTGTTTCTGGCCAGGATAGAACTCCAGCATAAAGAATTGACTCATAATCTACAGAACTATTTATATTCACAGTTCCTGCTCAAAGAGCAGATGGCTTCCAGCTTGTGTCCCTTTTATGGCAATTTCTGGGTCAGTAAGCTATGCTAAGGGGCTTTGTTACCATGTTCTTTATTATTGCAATGTTACAATGTACTCTACCTTGGGCTTCACTTGGAGATCACAAGCTTCAGCTGGTCTATAATGTAAGGACTTAAGTAATGTCAAGCAAAACTTGATTTATCTATGCTATACCTATATTTAGAGAGCTGCCCTGCTAATCAATTTCTGGCTACATTTCAAAATGCTAGATATCACCTTTGAAGTCACGTATGACTCAGAAGCTGGCTATCTATGAGATCACCTAATCCAAGTATCAAACTCCAAAAAAATGATTGCTCTGAGTGTCGATTTCTAGGGATTGTTGTGACTGGGGAATACAGGGGCAGATCTTCTCTGTCACTGTTCCCCTTCTCTAAAACTGCATATGCCGGAGATAGAACCCTACCCTTGCCAGGTTCTTAAGAGCAATTAGGACCTGGTGCTTCTAAAGGGCCTGAGAGCTGATATGAATATTTGTTTGTCCTTGAACAGAGGTATTTGTCACTTTTGTTTTGACTTTCCTTTAGTGGCACATTATAATGGGCTATTTTTTGATTTTAATAATTTTGCTAGGCATTGGAGTTTAAGTGGCTCTGAGTGCTTTAAGACAGGAGCATCATGTAAGTATCATCAAATAAATAACTCACCCTATATCCAGTTTCAAATTAATTGAGAATTTGCCTTGGTACCAGTGAGGGAGATACAAAAGGATGTTAGAGATAGAAAGAAAAGGTTTGTACATTATTTAACTGAACAGCACCAGTCACAGCAACAAATTATCCTAATGTGAAAAACATTTCAGAGGAAAAGTTAATTACTTCAGTGTAGTCATTGTTTTGATATTCTGAGTTTATCAGCATTCTTTTTAGGTACCCAGTTGTGTCCAGATCTGCAGCAAATGATCACAGATACTTATCTTAAATTTAAATGTTCACAAACAATCATAGTATCAATTTTACATACAAAAATCATGTAAATATTATACATGTCAATATGTGTGATTTGCCTTTAATTTCCCTGTAATTTTATGTTAAGCACAAATTATTACAGAACACTGTGGAAGTACAGAAAGTACTGTAGTATTGTAGTATTTTTTGCCTGCTGATCTACCAAATTAGATGTTACATGCAGATATACTGAACTCTTTCCCAATGCCTTAGATTTTGCCCCCCCCCCCCCTTCTCCAAAGCAACATCTTACTGACAAACAGGAAGGCAACCGTGGCATGGAATGGTTAACCATTTTCTGACAAGTTCTTTGCCATGTGAAAGAAAAAGCTGCAATTTGGAGGGGTTGAAGTGGAGCAGAAAAAAGTCTAACCAAGAAATGGCAAAGTCTTTTGGTTTGTGTCGTCCCACCGCCGCCCTAGTGGTTGGTACCAAAAAGGTATTAAGAACAAGTTGCTATCAGAAAAATCTACTTTGGTTAAAAATTTTATTTATTAGTCTTAAACTAGTCCCCAATGGTCGGAAGCCCATTACACCAATAGAAATTTCCTACACATGAAGGAAATAAGAGGAACATAAAACATATTTTATATTAAGTCATGTTAAGCAGCTAAGCACCAAGCCCTGCTTAGTAACTAGTAAAAATTCCCAGGGCCCCTGGCCAAAGCCTTTTTTTTTTTTTTTTTTAGCTCTCTGACCACTTCATTATTTTAATTAGACTCAGGAAGACTGAATCTGGAATTTTCTATACAATATGTAAAGTATGTACTTCACTGGTCAATATTATTCCTTCCTTCAGATCTATTGCTAGACTTTCATCTGCCTGGAGTTTTATCAATGGACCCAGTTCAGAAAACAAGCATGTTGTCCTTGGATCATAAATTTGTATATATTTTTGTATAATAGACTGCAACTGCCATCTAAAATCAAATTTAGGAGTTATTAAACTTGGGTAATTTATTCTAGACAGTTATTTCTAGTGAATGATAAGTATCAATGGTATTTTTTTATTTCTATTTACTATATTTATATAAAAAGGCAAATCAATATAAGAGGCAACATTTTGTACAAAAATACAGAATTTTAAAAGCTTTAAAAAGTATATTCTATATTACTGATCAGAACTGGACTATATATATTTATATATAAAATTTATATAAATTTATACATGTATATTTATATAAATTGCCAATATTTGGGAATTTAACAAGTAGCTGCTTTGTTTACACAGTAGCTTTGTATTTTTTTGTCGTCCTAGAGTAATCAGCTTGCTGTTTTCTAGTTCTTGTCAGAACATATCTTCTGCTTAATCAGTGAAGAGATCTATAGGTAGTTTTGTCCAATTGCATTTTCTACCAACATGTTTGTGCAACAGGTTGTAAAGCCCCTGAAAAATTAGAAAATGTGGAAGACAAATTGTGCTGATGAAGTTTATTCATCTAAGTTCTCAGTGCTCCTTTTCTTGATTGGATGATGGTTCAGTCCCAGATGAATTTCTTTGCAAAGAAAATGTCAGTCTCTTGGCCCACAACCTATTACAATCCTGGTGGCTGAGCTGCAGTGGGAAAGAAAAGTAATAAATGTTACAAACTTGGTTTTAAAATCCAGAAACCAATGCCAAAGCTGTAAGTTGCATTGGTAAGTACTGCTTTCCAAATCTGTACCTGTATCTGTTCCTATCCAGTCAAAATCCTAATACGACAATGGTAAGAAGATACTTAATGTGAAAATCACCTGTACTAATATAGGTGATGAAAAAAAGATCACCAGTCTCTCTTGTGTCCATTGCCAATGAACCACAAGGGCAGTGCAGTTGGTTTCACTCTTGAAACAGAAATAGAAAAAATAATAATAAAACCTTCCATCCACTGATTCTTCTCTACAGGTAATCCCTCCCCACCTTCACTTCCATAGTCTTATTAAAAGACAATTTTGGTTTTAAAAAAATCACCTAAGTGCTGACTATTGTTAACATAATGAAATCTTAGGGTTTTTTGTAAAGATTGCTATACCACCTGAGAAAAGACTGAAGTGATGGCATAAAGGTAAGGATAACTAACTCTTCTTGTATTACTTCACTATAGAAGTTATTTACTTTGTAGGACCAAGTAAATACAAATAGATTTCTAAGAATTATTTTTCTAGATGTTATATACTACAGAATACATTTTGGTTGCAATGACAACATGTTTCAGATATTAAAAGTTGCTGAAATTTAAATACACATGAAAATTCTAACTGAAATTTAAATTCAGTGAAATGGGTAGCATATAAATTTAATAAATAAGAAAGGCGGATTCAAGACAGCCCTATGTCTGCTGTATATTTCTCACTTCCTTTTCTTCAGAAGCTCAGATGAGGATTTTATCCTAACCCCAGCCTTCTTTACAAGGTTAGGCTGAGAGAGGGAAAAAGAAGAATAATTTGTCCAAAGCATCCAATGAATTTTATGGTAGACCCCCTACCTCAAACTCTTGTGATTATATTAATCTAAGAGTCAGACATTAACAATTTATATATAATTGATAATAACAAAACACAAAAGGTAGAATTGTACCTCATTTTTCAAGTTTTCATTTTCATGTACAGGTACAGAAATGATAAAGAGGAAAGCTGAGTAATAACATCTGACTCTTCATTCATTGCCTTTGATTATTCTAATGTGCTCTATCTTGGGCTGCTCTTTCAGGTTTGATTTTTAATAATATTTTTAGTACAACAGTATTTTAATGAGATATTTTGTCATTATGGCTCTATTATGTGGTTTTTTTGGTATTGTACTTTGCTTTATTTTGACCAGAAAGGAAATGCATCACTAAATAGTCTTTTAAAAGTTTTCAGGAACATTAGGTCCTATTGCTTATAGCTTTTCAAACTGCATATTTGTGTTCTGAAATTATTGTCTTTTAGGTGTTAACTGGAAAAAATAAATTACTGCAGTGCTTTTCTTCAGAGTTAGCTGGGCATGTTTTAGAACACTGATTGCCAAATGTATGTAATCTAGTAAGAATAGCTGTGTAATCTTGAAATACATGCCAACAGTTTAAAACTCAGTAGCCTGAACAAGAGAAGCAGATAGGGAGAATTGTTATACACAGATGCTAATAAGGATTGATCCCCAGTTCTTTTCCAAGACCTTCTATCTATGTGAGCAGGACATTCAATTCCCTCTTATCCCAGCTGTGGACATTTGGTTGCTTTAAGTTTTTGCAATAAATGTGAATACATTTGGTTCAAAGTTTACCATACCTTTTTCCACATCTTGTTCACAAATAAAACTATTAACATCTTCACAGTGGAAGTCATTCCAGAGCCCAGCATGAATTAATCCAGCACAATCTTCCCCTGGCCCATGGCCATGTTTCCAGTTATCTGGCTGTCCAGCACTCCAGTTTCTTGCAATAAAACAAACAAAAAAATGATCATTTCGTAACCAAGCCATCATATGACAATGTGAAAGAGGAGATTAATAATAGTAAAAACAAAACAAAAATAAAACAATCTCTCCTAAAGCAGAAATCTTTCTCCTTAACAAATAATGCATGACTTTTCCTGGAAATGGAAAACAGCTGGGCTTTAGAGATGGGAATCAATTGGAGAAACTGCCAAAGCTGAAAAGTCTAAAATTAGATCAAATATTCTGTTCTGGTTGTGGACTACACATAGACACATGTACAGAGTGTAATCCATCAGTGGGGCTGTATTTGTTTGTTTCATCTATAGCTGCAGATGAGTTACTAGGATATAAATACAACTTCCTGTTGGATTTATATATGCATCTCCAAATCAAAATAAAAAGAATAGTTTCTTGTTATACAATATTTAGAGAGAAATACCTAATATTATCATATCATAAACTCAAAACACATCAACAATCATATATTGTGTGTGTCATATATGTGTTCACTTTGAGAGCAGGCAACTAAATTTCATTTTTGATGTGTGCCATTGTGCCCACAATAAAAAATGACAATAAAGGTTATCTATCTTATATTGCAAAAAGTATCTTATAATAAAGATAAATTTGTATAATTAGAACTATCAGATCTGGACTGCAAAACTGCAGAGCAGAGATTCTCAATCTCTTTATTGCCATTTAGTGATTCTTCAGATTTCTGTAGCCTTTGCATTTATTTGGGAATGTACCATTCTCCTAGTAAATTATCCTTTGGGTGGATTTTGAACAATTGCTTTAAGATTTTGTAAGGTCCTTAAAGATGCAATGGTTTAAGTTACAAATGTGGAGATTTCATCAGGATAAGAAGGACTTAGCCAGAGATACCAGTAATATTTCCTTAACCTAAGCTCCAATGCTCAACAGCAGTCAAACTGAGAGACTGAAAGAAAAAGTACTAATTTCATTCAATGGGAATGACAGATCTTAGTCTACTTGATCTAGTGCTGATCCAGTGTATATCCTGATTCCAGTTCAAAAGAATTTAGCTGATATTAAGCTTCAGTGACAAATGAAGATACAAGTTTGGTTCCAGCAATGATATACAACTGCTGCAATACAGAAGTCTTATTTTTTGTAATCAGCCAATGACCCATTCTCTTTCTTTCTTTGTTGTCCCTCCTCCAACCACATTTAAAAAACCCGTGGTTTCTGTCGCCTAGTTTGCTATTAACTCTGTAATAAGCATCTTAAGCATCTTCTTTTATTGGTTATTCAGTATTTTTTTTCTGGCAATAAGCCTTTTGAAATCAAAGAACTGTTAATCTGAATCTAAAAGCCAATGTCCTTTATAAGGTTGTTGCGCCATTTCTTATTGGCAGATGCTAAGAAACAGTTACAGCAGAAAGCAGTGAACAGCCTTCCTGCACTCACATGTATTCTGGAAGGGTGCCATCCAGCCATCGCCACTCATCTTCCTTCACTGAGTCAGTGAGACCAATCCAGAAACTGCCTTTTGCAATAACTTGTATTTTCAACCATTGCTGTGTATAGAAGAAAGAATCGGTCACATTATTTCACATCCCAGAGTTTTGACTCCCTAAACTACTCTAGCCTCTTGAAAAGTGTGACTGAGCATGAACATGAGCTTATGGGCAAAATCAGCTTGGAACTATTTCTGGGTGTATCTCATTTGATCTGAGCATCCATCCAACACAGTCTTCCTTTCACGCTCCCAATCGCAGCCCAATCTCCTTTTCATTATAAACCAAGAATTTCTTTTCCCCAACCAATTTTCTGGTTAAAGAAGGTGCACTGATAACAGTAATAGCCAAGTATGGCACATGAGGTGAAGAGAGGGACTTTTTTTCTTTCCTCTCTAGCAATGGAAATGCTGCAAAGTAGATTGTGAGAAAAGTTGCTTCCACATGGTCTATTTGACACGTGGCGTGCTCTGCTGCCAGAATGAAAAGGGATTATTAAAGAACTTCTCTCTTGTTCTTTTCCCCTGCTTGCTGTCACAAGAGCATCAGCTCAGTAAGTGCCGACCAAGCATTTAAATTTGTCGCCTCAATACAAAATGCTGTCTTTTATTATCTTTACAGTGGCTCATAGTAGCATAATCTTGATATTGATGCGGCTGTAGTTTCCCTGGAATCAGATTTGAAGATGTCTAATAAGAACTATTTCAAATAAATAAACAGGGGGCTCTGGAGCTAGGGAGAAGGGAATTTGGAAGCTGAATGGGAAACATGACTTAAATTAAAATCCAACATGTTCCCCACAAAAGCTTTTAGAAATTACAACAATCATCTCATATGGAATGATATCCTCTGCCTTATTTCCAGCAA